CATGAGAAAGGCTCCAGGAGTAAACCCTGAAGATAAGTCCAGAGCTAGAGTTCCTAAGACAGTCCAACATTATGTTCAACATCATTCTGGCAACTCCTGGGAAGCTGTCACTACCATATTGGTCTATACAGTCATATCAGACGCTGCACCACCACCAATAGCTGAGGCATAACTTTTGGGGTACAGATCCATGTTCTCTTGAGACGAGGGGATGCTTCACATTATATACAACTAAACAATCATATAATGATAGGAATAATAATAATGCATAAATAAAACTCCCTATGGCATAGAAATATCCGTGTGATACCTGGCAGGGAATAGTTGTATCTCATAGGCAGGATGAGCTCTTTAGTATTGGTCGACAGTTGTCCTAGAGGTGGTATCTTAAACAAAATTATCCCTTGACAGTTAAGAATAAAAATGCAAAAAATACAAATCTCAATGTTTACAAAAAAAAACTCATACCTGATCGGTCGTTGCCTGGATAAACAAGGAGAGAAGAACCAGTCTGGGGTTAAAAATCTGTTACTGGAACAAAGTCTTCCACCTGCTCACCAAAACAGGATTAACTCCATCATTGGACCTGGAGACTTAATGCCAAATCAATTAATAAAAAGAAAGTGAATGAAATGGAATTGTGAAAAGTATAAACACATCATGGCATCTTTTTCACTGTACTGGAAAATCCACAAAAAACATCTCAGATCAGACATACCAAATATGGTAGGAATTAAGATAAGATCCTATCTTATTTGCAGGAACATCATGCAAAAATAAAAAAATAAACAAATACAGAAATAGATGAGATAAAACTAAATATAAGACAGACACAATCCAAACAAAAAAAAATGAGGTGAAAGTGGAAATAGATAATATGACAGAGAATGAGATACAAACTAAAATAAGATACAAAATGATCTCTCAGGAAATAAAACATAAGAATCAAACTGCAATATGAACAATTGCATTGAATCAGATTCTGTCAACAATGAAGATGAATCAAATGAGATTAGAGCAGAATTCCTTGAAAACATCAGAGTTGAAATCACTGAAATTAAAAACCACATCATACAAATAATCAGCAAAGTAACTCTCACATAAATGTCAGAAAGAGATTGGCTTCCAAAGTTTCATATGACAAAATCCAATAAACATTATGCAAACATGACACTGCATTGAAAACATTGTTAATAGACAGATTAGAAAACATCACAGAAATAATTCCATATATGCAACAGCTTTTGAAGCTACTGAAAAACTTAAGACAAATAAGAGATTAAACAACAGACAAAAAGAGCCCACTTGGAAAGTAAAATTAAAATGAAAAATTGAAGAAATCAGATGTGAGTTATCAATACTCGATGAAATTTCAAATGTTTTAACATGGAAAAGCAAGAAAATTAAGCAAAATTATAAAATTAAATCTTAAATGAAATTCTACGTTTTTTGTAGGATATGTAATACCTTTATTGATCCATTCTAGAATTTTATTGGGGTTATTAATTAGTTTGGATAAAGTTTGTGCAAGAATTTTATGGATTGATGACAGATGATGGGCATCGGGGGGGATATCCATTTTTGGGAATTTTTTTTTTTAGAGCTTGCCTAACGTTATTCTTGGTTATATTTTCCCATTCTTGCACAGGTTTATCCTTCATTCTTGTTCTCTTTTTATTCACTCTGCATTGGGATTATATTCCTTTGGGTTGCTCCAAATATTCCCTTGGTTTTTTTTTTTTCAGTTCAATAGGTGGTGGCTTTTTGATGTCTATAACTGATTTTCCAACCACATTATAACTAAATCATACCATAAGTACTGCCACTTCCAATTGTTTGAATATCTGATGAGGAATCTTTCAATGAGACTCCATGTCATCCACTTCTTAATCCTCCTTTCACATGAATAGTGATAACTATGGATACAAAAGTAAAAAAAAGAAAGTGTTTAATCACCCTATTCTACAGGGATAATAAACACTTTGCTAAAGACAACAATAAGTTGAAAGGGTATCCTCAATACTGTAAAATGTTTCAGTGATGACAGCAGTATGGATTTCAGATTAGATAAATATGCAAAAGTAACATTCAAGAAAGGGAGAATTTCAGAAACACACAATAGATCTCAATTTTGTCATAAAGATTAGGGAACTGGACCAAGAAGAAGCCTATAAATACCTAGAAGTTACAAAGGAGGAAGAGGAGGAATAGGAAAAAAATAAGAATAAGAGGAAGAAGGCAAAAAATAAGAAAAGAATACTACATGCATGTATGATTGGTGTTAAATAATACCAAGTTGAATTTGAAAAACAGAATATCAGCCATAAACATTTTGTATTGCACCACAGGGACAACCATTTCAACATCTTTAATTGTACCATAGCTGAGATTAAGCAAATGAATGTCAAAATGAGAAAGCTTCTCACTTGTCACCACATGCATTATCCTGAGGCTGATGTTCATTGTCTGTATACAGATCCAAAGGAAGTAGAGGATTAGTTCAACTAGAACTGTCTTACAAAACCACAACAATGTCTTCAAAGATACCTGGAAACTACAGAAGACTGGATGGTGATCTGTGTTAAAGAGCATGAAAGAAATAAGAAATATTAATAAAACCAACAAATTCAAGTGGGTGAAGAAGTGCAAATAAACCATAATACACCTACTGCAGTGGCAAAAGAACTTAAAAAAAAGAAAGTAAATACAATATACCAAATACAGAAATGATCACAAGATAAGCCTCTTCCTGATCAATACTCTGCCCATACCAAACAAGCTGATGCTAACAGACCCTGTACCCATTAGTGGTTACATAGTACAGGGTCAAAAGCTGAAACTGAAGGTTTTAGTCTTGCTGCACAGGACCAATGCTTGCTAACCAGAAATTACCAAACACACATACTGAAAAATTGTATTAACCTGAAATGCAGATTCTGTGTTAAATATCCAGAAACAATTGACCATCTTGTATCAGGTCAGACAATGTTAATGCCAACTGAATATAAAACTTGGTATGATAGAGTGGGTTAATATGTGCACTGGAAAATATGCAATTTTTATAGGAAGAAAACTGGTGTGAATATCACCCAGACCCTGTTACAGATATAAGACCTGTAACAATTTTATGGGATTTTACAATACACACAACGATCAAAGCTAATCCCCCAGACATCACAATTAAAGACAAGAACAAAATGTGCTTTCTTATTGACATGGCAATCCCTGCTGATTGTAATGTATCTTTAACGGTCTTAAAAAAAAAAGAAACAAAACAACAACAAACACATAAAACAAAAAACAAGACTATCAAAATACAAGGATCTTGAAATGGAAATCACAAAAATGTGGCACATGAAGACAAAAATAATTCCAGCTGTAGTTGGAGCTGTTGAACTGATTGGAAAAGTTTCCAATAGACTCATTGAAGCATTTTCTGGTAGCCCATGCCTTAAAGAAATACAAAATATTGTACTCACAAGTGCAGCAGCACACATTATGAAGAGATTTATCTATGTAAAATGTGCATGATCTTAGTTTGTTTTTTTTTTTTTTGTTTACAAAAATGATCAGTGGAAAATGTTATGAAGCCATTTATGACCTGAAGGAAATATGTATACAACAGAAATCTAAAGAAAGAAGAAATAATAATCAAAATAAAAAAGATAACATAACAATAACAATATAAATAATGATAATATAAATAATTTTTTTCATGTGTAATAATGAGAACCTGGATATTTTTTTTGTTTTTATATAGTTGCACTTTATTTATTTACTTTCAAAATAACCTGTGTGAGAAAAAAAAAAAAATTATACATATTTCATTCTTTGAATTTTTATTATATGTGAATATATATATATATATATTTTTTTTTTTTCATATCCCTCTTAGTTTCAAATGGACAGGCCAGGATGATGATTCTCTTTTGGAGAATAATCCTCTCAGGAATGTTTCTTCCACCGTCTTAATTTGGGCTGTAAGCATTCTAGGACAAAGTGTTCCATTATTTATAAAAAAAAAAAAAAATTCTGCTCCCCCTTTCTATTTGATACACAAGTGTAAACAAAGTATTTCTTATTGTAAACCAAAACTTTAAAAGTCAAAAACAAATGTTCAAGTGACTTATCTCTTGATCAACTTCAGAGTTTTGTGTAATACTGCTCATCAGTCAGGGTTTGATAAATCTTACCATTTATTCAAGAGATATGTTGCTTAAGCATTTATTGAGTAGTTTTATCTGTTGAGCATTTTCTTGACAAAGATCCTGTTGGCCTTAAAATACATTAAATTCTAGTAAATTTTATATATTTTGATATGTGCTATGGAGTTGTATTATTATTTTTCTAGGGTTTGAATGCATAGGTTCCTTTTAGTTTTTAGCAGAGGGTTCAATTTACAATGTAAATTAAAATATTAGTCTGGATCCTTTGACTAGGTGCATTGAAAAAGGAGGCACAAAGAGGGGAAAAAACATTTGCTAAGAACTGAATTCTTGTTAAGATAAAATAAATTTGCCTTTTAAGTTTCTGTATCTTAAACTGCTACCTAGATTTGCATGAAGACAGACACAAAAATCACGTTCGTGTTTAACAATGTTTACCGTATATACTCTCATATCATACAACTTTTGAAGACCTAATTTTGAAGGTAATTTGACTACAGTAAATAGATATATGGTTTGGTCAACGGTGTAGCCAGGGCCAGCAGTACATACACTAATTTTATATCTTTGGTATGATGCGACCCCTTTAAATCTAGGTTTTCCTAAGTTGCATGACACAAGTATATATATGGTATATTGCAAATTGAATTGTCAATATTTTGACTTAGTCAACAAAGAACAATTGAAGGTTATAAATTTTATTATAGACATTTTAGCCATGTATTTTCTGGTCGTCTCCAGGTATCCATTTTTTTTTCTGATATGGGATATGTTTTTGTCCGTCTGATCACATTTCTTGTTTGTTCCTGTCGAAATTGGATGTCTTTACCTGATCTAGATATCAACTTTAACCTGAATCACTACGTGACAGTGACACTTCTTTGCAATACTGAAATGAAAAAAAAGAAAAAAAAAAGAAAAAAGAAGAGGGCATTAAGTCATTGTGTAGGTTTTACGTGCAAGTGAATCTATATTTGGTAGCCCGTTGGAATGAAAACTTCCCGTGAAAAGTCTACATAGTAAAATCCAAATTACATTGCTTGACTAATATACAAGAAATATGGAAAGTTAGGCGGGGAGGGGGGGGGTCTTGATTGATTCTGGAACTTTAGAAGTTGATCATCAAGGAAGGTGTTGTTACAAGTGCCATCTACTTCCTTTTCTCTGCAAGATATTTTGAGAAGAGTTTGACTGAGGAAATTTTCCTCAGCTTAAGAATTATTTTAGCTTGTGGAAGACATCTTTGCAGGTTCATTCAATTGAATCATCAGCTGTGGACCTTGCTATTGAAAATAATACTAACACCTAATTCAACAACCAGCCATTGTTAGGTGTAGCATAGAGTTTTTACAAGTTGGTTATGGTTTGAAACCTCATTTATAACTTGCTCCCTTTGTTATAGAGACTGTTTCAACCAGCTTCATGTCAAATGAAAAACAAACACTGAATCAGGAAGATGTACTGATGAAGGAAAAGGAGACAGTGGGGGTAAGGTTAAAAGATCTGACAAAATTATCAGCTTTAGCTCAACTGAAAGAGTGTATGTATATTAGTTCATGTTAAATTGCTATCAGCAAGGGAGAGAAAAACGCACATCTTAAAAAGTCAGGAATATATTTTAAAAAGAAAAATGTCAAAAGAACAATACTAATTCCCATCTCTTAGAAGCCTTTCTAGGAGCATTAAAATTTTTTAAACCACTTTTTCATCAGGCAAAATTATTTTGACTGAAATAAGTTATTTTCAAGATTCGTATAAGAAATCCTAAAAGGAGCAATCTAGTCTTTCTATAAGCATTTGTATATTTTCCAAGAGCCTATCAGAAATATGTAAATTACTAAATAACATTACTACAAAAAGGGAAAATTATCCAGAAGTCCAAATTTTTTTTTTTTTTTATAAGGATTCATATTGTGCAAATTGAAAGATTTAAATTTAACTCCATCTCTTTACAAAGAATTTGTAACAGAATATATATAATCTGAAAAAACTTTTCAAAGAAAGTTATTTTATCTAAAATACCTAAGGAAGTTCAATTTAGATACAGTACTTAAAAAGAACAGACAACATCCTAATATATTTCATGTTTGTTCTATGTTTGAGAACATCAGCTTTTAAGCATCTAATGATTCTCAGTGGTATAGTGTATCTCCCTCTACTTCAGAATTTCTCATCTGTCACCATAAAATAGTATCAAGACTATTATGGAGAATTCAGAAAAATAAAATCAGAAGCCACTTGGTCACTTATTACCAAATATTCTTTTATAAGTTTTAGAGTTCAATAAATATTATGGTTAAAGAGTTTTTTTCTGTCTTTCTCACTGGTTTGCAAGACCAGTTTTGATTTGTACATCACTATATAGCTGGTCAAAGTTAAAAATACTACTGCTGCTAAGCAATTTTGAGTGCTCCAGAAATACACCCTTGTGCCAGTTTCCTATGAATCTGGAAACTAAAAACTGTTAAAGTCGCTTGTGTTAAGTAAATAAAATTTAAGATTTTTTTTTTTAAATTACCAGCATAGTATCTATCAAAACTGACAGGATTATTTGTATATGAACCAGTAATTGTGCTTAGCTTAGAATTAGTGGAGTATCTGTGTACACAAATTATGCTTTACATGTAAATAAATATGTAATTTCTTGATACATGAATAATGCCGGCATTTTTGACAAATACTACGCTAGTAAATAGTTGACCCATACTGTCATATTGTACTTACAAACTATTAAAAATTTAAGTTGCTCTGCAGTTTCTTGGTTATGGTCAAAACTTCCTGAATATTAAACTAAGCAAATAACATTCTATTCATCAAATAATTATGGAGTTTTATTTAACACACGTTGCAGCAGGCACTTTTTCTATGGATTCGAGATGGTACATCAGTCATGTTGGCAAGTTGGGAATGCAGAAAGAAAGAAAGAAAAACTTTAATGATGGAGAAAATAGAAACACTTTAATTGATTTTCATTTCTATGATATTAAATTAGATTTCTATTTACTATATGACATTTTTAAAAAAGAAAATTAAGCAAACATTCGATTTTATTGAAAGATACTTGTACAGAATTTTATGGATTGAGTGAATCCTATTTTTTTTTTTTTTTACTAAAATCGTTAAAAAGCCAAGATATCTAAGGAAATCTAACAAAGGAAAAAAAATCCCCCCCCCCCAACATTTTCCCACTATGGTAACAAGGCATGCAAGTTGATGGAAACCAGGTTATCACAACAATGGAATATATTGGGGAACTCGATGTCTGATCAATATATAAAGTCACTTGATTTTATAATAATAAAAACAAAGTAATATCTAATCTTAAAAAACAAAAAAAAAAAACAAAACAAAAGTATGAATTTGACTTGTAGATACTTTATTATAATTTGTACATTAAGGAACACGGCTACACTCGTTCATATGCTTACACTGAAGATATGAATATACAGTCATTATATAATGCCAAAAACTGGTAAACTGATCGATATCTGCCAACCTTACAATATAAGGTAATATCAGACCTAAGGTCGACTTAGACGAGGGTAGGGGAAGCTTGAAGCTTACTTGAGTGGGTTGCGGAATTTCTTGCCAGCAAACACAGCTTTGTCACCCAATTCTTCCTCAATACGAAGAATCTGGTTGTACTTGGCGAGACGTTCTGATCGGCAAGGAGCACCAGTCTTGATCTGAAGAAAAAAATAAAATAAAGACATTTTTAGTACCTTTTGGCATATCTAGGATCTACTCTATGTAAAATGGGGTGTTGGGATGTGTTGAGCTGGGCAGGGTAATAGGCAAAAATAAAACTTGATACTTCATTACAATGTACCAGTCTTGGAGCAAAATAATGAACATTTCACTTACAAGGCAAAAAGAATAAAAATATAAAAAGATGTTTAAATTAAATATTTATACTCAGCTATAGAAGACAGTATAAAAAGAAAAGCCATGACAAAAATCAACTTTTATCAAAAACACTATACAGCATGAAAAATTTAGTTGATCACTAATTATAAATAAGGGATAATTTTAGTCCCCTTATATCTACTTAAAATTAAGTAAATTGCCAATCTAAGAGGTCTGTTGTCATCTATCTCCATTTGCATACATCTAATATCTTGTTTTCAGTAACATTAATCTAATAATCTGGTCAGTTCAATATTGAATTCATCCATAAGTGGCAAGTATATGCAGTCTCAGCTCCCGTGTACCTTCTCCAGCTAATTGTTTTATTTTCAGCTGTGAAATATACTAAAAGCATGTTGTTGACTTATAAAGCTGTTTACATGTCAACAATATGTTTTTAGCTTATCCAACAACCTTTTCACAAAAAAGGATTACTGAAGAATTCAAAGGCAATTCAAGACTTTGCATCATCCAATGAGTCATATCAAGCATAAATTTTGTAGAATTATGCTAAGTATTAGGAGGACTAAACTCCTTTTAGCACAAGTGTCTAAAATTATTTTATAGATTCAGGATAAAATATTTCAAGTGCCAAAAGTTTGGAATAAATGATCTTAAAGACTTAAATTTAATGATTAATTTTGTTTTGACTATCTTCAAATTCATTTGTCATTTCAATAAGGAAGTAGCCTACTCAAATATATCCAGATTAAGTTAGCAAGTAATATTTACTGACCTGTCCGGTGCAGAGACCAACTACCAAATCAGCAATAAAAGTATCCTCAGTCTCACCGCTACGGTGAGAGACCATCACTCCCCAGCCAGCATTTTGAGACATTTTGCACCTGGAATGATAAGTAATAAGTTAAACAAAGAGCAACAAAATAATGCTAAGAAAGGTTTAACATTAACTAGAAATAGGAGTCAGTGCACTTACGCTTGGATTGATTCAGTAACGGAGCCAATCTGGTTGACTTTGAGGAGGAGGGCATTAGCAGCCTTTAAGTCAATTCCCTTCTGTACTCTCTTGGGATTAGTGACCAAGAGATCATCCCTGTAAAGATAGGTTGTTGCCAAAAAGTCAGAGAAAGAAATGAATATTATGGTTTTGGGTGCAAAAACATGTCACATGTAGAAAGATAACAGAATTATGGAATATACAAGTTACTACTGCAGTGTGTGTAGAATTGAAAATTATAATGACATTTTGTTAATGTAGCTTATAGCAGATACAAAAAATACAATGGTGAGAGATTTAATTTGAAACATGACATTTCAGTTGGTATATAAAGATTAATGTTAGTTTAATTTAATTTGACTTGAGGGAAAATAAGATAAAATTGTAAGGTAGTTTTTTTTTTTTGTTGCTTGTTCTTTCTAAAAGAAACAAAACAAACGTTCTAAATCTTGATATGCCAAAGCTATGAAATTATATATATATATATATATATATATATATATATATATATATTATTCATGAATTATTCATACAAAAAACAAATACAAAGGTTAATGATTTAATTGGCGAGAAATCCATCGTCGCGAACAATTCAAATAATATACAAAAACCCCGACCTGTTTATGAATGAAAAGATCCTTGTTTCTATAAATTTCTGTTGCATGAGTTATTATTTTTACAAGCTTTCGTCTGTTCTTACAGACATCCTCAGGTATGGAATAGATTTTGCTCTTGTTTTTCTCTCAGTAATAAGAGGACAATGAAAATATATGTACTGTTGTAATCCGAAAAATGCTATTAGAAATGAGTTATTGTTTTTGGAGCGTGCTGTCGTAACGCTGAGTTTGAATTTAAATTTTACAATTGTGCGTTCTTATACAAATATGGTGATAAGTGAATTCTTTTTTACTGGTAAATTTTCTGTCAAAGTGGCATGAACTTTATTGTTCAATAATTACAGTAATGTCGCACTTATTATCCAAAAGTTGCATTTGGATCAGTTATTTTAATTTCAATAAAGGTGCAATTAACTTACAAATTCATGAATTATTCATACAAAAAACATATATGTGTGTGTGTTATGAATCGATAGATCATTAAAAGTAAAAAAGACATCTAGAAACATGCATCCTCAAGTGAAAACATGCCTTTTCTCAGAACAATTTTCAGCATAGTTCCAGGACACCCACATGATAAGGTTCATTGTAGTCTAGTCATTGAAATTTCACAATAACTTCAAAAGATAAAGGTTAATACTGAAGTTAAACAAAATTACATTTCACGAGAGGTAAAGTTATTTGCCGGGGTAGGGGAAGAAAAACCCTAGCAAGAGAAAGAAAAATTCATATGGCATTAAATGTGACCTTTGTCTGAATAGTTAAAGCTTGCCAAATTTTGCACTGATAAAGTTATCTTTTTAAAATAAACTATGTCAACAAATGTTGCATGTCTAGAAAAAAAAATTCATAAAATTTCTAAAGTTGTTTTAGTCAAGACAAATAGCAAGCTACATCTTTAATGATCTTATGACATGTGGTCAAACAAGATAAGAATTCAGGTAGAGATGAAAGCACTACTCACCCAACAATCTGGATGCTTGTATCAGCGGTCATTTTTGTGTAAGCTTCCCAATCATCTTGGTCAAAAGGATCTTCAATAGACACAACTGGATAATTCTTAACAAAATCTTTGTAGACATCAGCCAATTGGTCAGAAGTAAGCTATAAAAAAAAAAAAAAAAACATTTAAGTTGTGTTCCAATTTCTCCAAAAGTAAAAGCTTAAAACTACATGTTCAGGTTTGATACCTGCACTTAAATAAGATCTTTATATGTCCAAGTTTAAAACTAATGCAAAATGGTTATCAGGAATGAACTCTAGAAGAGACAAACTACTTATTTTACAAATGTCTGAGTAACTTAAGACAAGAATCTCTGACCTGGTTTCACATTTTATTTATCTTTTAGTAATAAAATAATCTAAGACTTGTTTTCTCACTATCTTATTACTTTTCAGGTTATGTTATAAAATAAAAATATCCTAACTTAAAAAGGTTATACATCTAAACTATTGCAATATTTAAAGATTGAATACAATTTGACAAACATAGTAAAATAAAACAAGTGGTAGACAGTTAAATTGTTTTTTAATAAATAGCTTTTATTGCATTATCTATCATTTTCCATCCAAAAATTGGCAGCAAATTTGTGAAAAGCTTAAAATTCAAAGATGTGGAGGAGGGTGAGAAGAGAGAAAATAAAGCAGCAACTGTTACTCACCCAATCGTTGGGATTAGAGTTAGGGTTCTTGAAATCCAGGTCATACTTCTTATCCTTGCAGAACTCAGAAGCAGCAACATCCATGCCAATTTCAATTTCGGCAGTGTAGCCAGCATTTGCAATTGCAGTCTTCAACAGTTCCAGACCCTCTTTGTTGTCCAAAATGTTTGGAGCAAAACCACCCTCATCTCCTACATTGCAAGCTATTAGAAATAAAATATGATAAAAATTAGGCTAATTTTCATTATAAAGAGATCCTGAATTTAAATTTAATCAAAAAGTAGGTACCTCAACAAGCCCCAAATTTAAAAACAAGGTTTTATTGTCAAAATGTTTAATGCTATCATTTAAAGGAAAAACCAAAGTATTTTTTCTTGTTTTATTCAAATTTTAAAGAGAAAAAAATTTTTTTAACCATGCTTGAAGTGATTTTTTTTTTTATGTCAGCAGTCTACATAATATTTACGATTGTTTTAGCACCTTTTTTCAAGTGAACATACCAATTTGGAAATTCTTCCAAAAATCAAATTGTCAGATTTTAATAAATTTTCAGGACTTATAAATGAAATTATTTTTGAATTTATTTTTTAACATGTCATCCCCAATTTCATGAAACTTCAACAAAATTAAATTCCAATATAAATATTTTTTTATTATTATTTAAAGTCAATATTTTTTTAAAATCAGATTAATTAGACTTCAAGTATTATAAATATTCCTCAAATAAAGTTTCAGAAAAATTTATAAAAATGTGAATTCTAGTTTACAAAAAAAAAAAAAAAAAAAAAAAAAAGGCAATTTTAAATGATTTTTGAAAGTGACCAAAAAGTTGACATCATAATCAATATAATTTCTATTTCAAATAGACCAGAGTATTTTGCTTATTGGAAATAGTAAATTTAAGCATTTGGATTTCAATTAAAGCTAAAGTGAAAGCTTCAAGAATGTTGTCTTTTCTTTTTTAAAAATTCTTTTTAAACCTTAGGTCAAAAAAATATAAAAGCTTAAAAAAAAAAAAAAAAAAAAAAAACACTATCATTTTTCTGTCTATTGAATAAAGATTTAATACAGTTATAAAAATTTGATAAAACCTCCACAAAATGCAACTTTATATGCAAACCAAGTTCACAAAAATACATTTTAGCAAAAGCTGTATTATGTAACATTTTTTTCTTGTAGTTTTACAAAGAAAAAAAAAAAAAAAATATTCCCAGCAAATTGAAGATAGAATTTGGTTGAAATAAAAAGTAAAATTTTCCTAAAGGCTCTTAATTATGGACAAATGAGGATGAGGCTAAAGTTATTTTAAAACAGTACTAATAATAAAAAATCTTGATAGGAATTAAATCAAACAAGTTTATAGACAAGCAATTTCAAAGTCAACTCACCATCTTGACCATATTTCTTCTTGATTACAGATTTCAAATGATGGTAGACTTCGGTACCCATTCTCATGGCCTCCGTAAAGCTCTTGGCCCCTTTAAGGTAGAGAAAATACATTGAGGAAGATTCCCTTTGAAAAAAATGTAGAAAATTGATGAAGTGTGCACACAATTTTTCAGTGATGAAAATTTGAAAAGTTTCATTTCATGGAAGTTAAACATTAAAAATATCACATGCTCTTATTAAAAGTTTGCCCCATTTTACCTCACTAAATTTTCCATCAGGCCCACTTTAAATTACTGCCCAATTTCTTGTCTTCATAACAAAATATAAGGAACTAGCTTTCAAATGTTTTTGCTATGACATATTGAAGACAGGCACAATTTTTCTAAGAAAAATCCTGTTACTATATAGCTTTTTTTTAAAAAAAATATTTGAGACCATTGATAAATCTAAAGATATCAATTTTCAAATTATCATTCATCAAATGTGATGATCTATCTGGAAGACTATTTTAATCAGGGGCCTTGCTGCCAGATGTACTTTGTCATGCCCAGGACAAATGATTGGAGAGATGCCAGATCCCAGTATGTCATGTCATGTCATAGAACTGGAGGTTTTGAGGAGCATGGAACCACCTCTTAATTGCTGTTCCTATGTCCACCCTAATTCAGAGTGGTAGCACCTCTTAGGATCCCTGTTATGGGCAAATAGTGAATCTCCAAACAACAGAACACTATGAAAGTGTAAAAATCCATTTTTACACTAAAATTACCAACAAGACCTCGTAGGACATTAATCCTTATGGCCGACAATTAAATAAAACTATTCCAAAATATAACTACAACAACATAAAACATATCACCACCTCTAGTAATCATGTCTATATGAACATGTATATACAGAAAAGCTGAGTATCATCTACCATGTATTCAATGTGAAAGCAGAAAACTTATCACTTCAAAGCTAAAAAATTAGCATTAAATAACCCATAAAGGAGTTGATATGCTGTTAAAACAAACAAATCAATCCAATCATTTGAGGATGAAAAGATATTGAAGTTAGTGCATTTTTAGATTTTGTGAGCCTGTATGATTTTGGAGAGTTGTGAGGGGGGGGTGATAATCTGCCTACTGGATGAGTTATGATAATTCAAGGTTTATAGAAATCATCCTTAATGTAGAAAAAGTATATTTCTGATAACTGTCATGAATCTGCAGGTATGAATTGTCTGTTGGATTTTCTATGTTCACATCTCCAGAAGCTAAAGATAAAATAGCTCAAGTTAAATATTTTTGTTGTCATAAAAGTTTATAGTGAATTGATGAGGGATAAACGAAATATTTTTACCAGTTGGAAGGATCATAAATTCTTGCATAGCCAGCTTGTTACCAGCATGGCTACCACCATTGATAACATTGAAGGCAGGCACAGGGAGAATGACATCCTTGTTTCCAGCTAAATCGGCAATATGGCGGTACAAAGGAACACCCTATAAGAGGAAAAAGTGATGAATTGTTACCATTGAGAGAGAGAGAGAGAGAGAAAAAAAAATTAAATAAATAAAAAATAAAATAAAAGTAAGCTATAGGATTGTTATATCAACACCAGCTTCTTACTACTCCCATAAATCTAATGCATTTTGTTTCTGAAAAGTGAAAGGGAAATAATTCCATCTCTTCCACCTTATGGATGAAAAGACCATAAAATGTATGAATTGGGGTGGGGGGTGGGAAATTGTTTTAATTAAGCAGGCATGAAATGAAAGATGAGCTAAGTTATAAAATTATGAATCTAATGTCCAGCTCTATAATATTGTAGCAGGAAACAGTTTCTTCTGTAGCATAGACACTGGAACAACGCTCGCAAGGGGGACTGATTTAGTACTCACTGCAACACACCAACCTGAGGGCAAATGCTTATTGGCGTCCCAACAAACACTTTATTCGTTTTTGCCAAACAAAGGAAAATTAGCATCTTGCGCATACTGCCAGCCTCGGTATGGCTCAGTGATGTATGTGCTGTGTCATTCCAGCACTGATGTTCATGATTCGCCTCACTCAGTTTTCTTGTCTTATGCCCAAATTTAGGTTATGCCACTCTGGCCCTCTGGGGTAGTTCTCCAGCACACTCCACCCGGATCACAAAAGTGGTAACCTGGCAGTAATCATCTTTGCTGCCTGTTTCTTCACAAAGGTGGGGAGGTGGGGTCCTGCTTGTATCTTTGCTGTCACACAGCAGACATTGACCTGCTCTCTGACAATGTTGTGCTGTTGGAGTCTTCCTTTGATGTGATGACCCTGCTGAACTTTGTGGTACACAGACTGTGGCACCTTGACCCACACATGATTACTGACCTGGTAAGAGCTGTGCCAGGACATAAGGATGTTGCCACAGCATCAATCCTCTTCACCCAAACTTCATATAGATAGATCACATTGGCCAGCACAGTCAGATGAGAGTTGTCATCCTTCAGAGTCACGCTGTGCCAGCAGAAAGCATCCTGGACAGAACTGTGCATCCTGGTTGCAATTTGCTTCACTATGCAATTCCCAGCTGGGGCAGACATGCAACGGAATAGCATATTTATTCTCCAGTTATGTGCAAAAGTTCTGAACTCTCTGCTCCAAAAGGCTGTGTCATTGTCCATAAAGGGCACATGCGGTAAGCCATGCTCAAAGAATACCACCTCAAGTTGTTGAATCTTGCTTGCCGAGTCTTGTCTTATCAATTGCTTCCAAATAGAAAAAAAAAACAAAAAGCGACAGGCTGCAGTCTGTGAGCGCTAAAAAAAATGGCGGGCACTGTGGTGCATGATGTCCATTCATAAACTGTCAGTTCTTGTTCACCTCCAATTTTCTCTTCTCGCAGTGGATTGGTGCTGGGTCTATAGATTGGCATTCTTTGCACGCAGAGTTAGCAGTTGCTTGTTGTTGTTGCTGTGCAAACACTCTTGGCAAAGGAGGTGCTGTTCTGTACTTCCAGGTGCCCACTGCTTTTGTGGACAGACATGATTTGGCCTGCATCTAGCTCACCCATGTGGAAAGCACTGATCAGTGGCCTGAGTGTGTCAAACTACAGCTGTAGCAACCTAGTCAGTCAGTTGGCCATGTTTTGAGTTGATGCAATAAACTTTATGCCCAATCAGTGCATACAGTCACCAGCTCTTTGAGTGTACTCAACCACCTCCTGATAAGCATCTCGCTTGCTGCCTTGGTATGCATTCATGCTTTCCCCAATCAGGGTGTCCAATACCCAGCGGTATTACAGTCCATCTTCACGTGTAGCACCTTGCCCTGCCACTGGAGAACCAAGTGTTCTCTTATGTGAGTCACAGGCTAGACATCTTTGTTGACATAAATGTCAGATATAAGCTGATGCCACACAGTCAATGGTTTCTTCCTGCAACATCATTGTGCTGACAATGGCCTGCACATTAAGGGGAGCCACATTTAGGCTGAATCCCCAAATGTGTCAGGCAGTACTGTTTCCCCAACAATCTTCATGGTCTGGAATAGCCACAGCGTTTTGTGGACACATACTTTGAGGTAAACCCTTCCGAGGTGCAACAGAGATATGTTTGAGCCTTTCTACTACCATTTGTGTAACTTAGCTGTGCAAACATCTGCATTAGCAGAGTTCACTGCTAATGCAGATATTTGACGGCTGAGCTCTCAGTAGTCCATTACTGGACGTAGCTTTACTTTATTCCGCTGCAGTATGGAATTAACCCTTTGGGAGGCCCCAGATTTCTACCTAGTATAGCATGAGCCAACTTCAGGTTTTTTTTCAGCTACTGGATATTCTAACACACTATTTTGCAGTCCTTCCAGTGCATGGTCCCCTGACCACTTCCATGCTTGGCTCTGATGATTGAATGTGGTGGTGAAATCAGGTTCATTGATGGAGATGGCTGCACACAGTGACTTTCCTGTCACTGAGCTGCACTGATCCTGTTGGCCAAACAACAACGCCTCCCAATGGTTTATTGCATCAATCCCAATAGCAGGTCAAACCCCAGCAGTTTGCCATGCACCACCAGAACATCAATCTTGGCAGAATTGCCTTTGTCCATAGATACGGTGACCACTCAGACACCATAACTTGCACAGCATGTGCAACCCTTGCATTTTTCCAGGATTGGCATAAATCTGCATCTACTATTGACTGTGAGCAACCCGAGTTAATTAGTACTGAACAATTTTCCATCAACATAGATGCTTGTCTCTGGGAGTGCCATATTTACATCTTGGTTGGGGAGAAGGCAGGTGCTGATGCCTCATCCCCTGACCTGTTTCTTGAACAGTATTGGACCCAGTGCCAACTTCACATTGGTAGCAATGTGCTCTGTGTTTTTGGCAGTCTTTTGTCATATGACCCTTGCCACTGCACTTGTAACAGATAACACTGACACTGCTCCTAGTAGGAACTATAGTATTACTGTGAAGTGGGTGCATAGCTGCGGCCACATCTAGGCTTTGGTCTTTGTCAGCACTCTTGCTCTCAGGTTCCCCATAGGCAAGGTCTCAATGTTTGGTGCCTGTTGAAGTCTGATGGAGATGGCATCAGGGAACCCCGTGATGAAAGTTTAGTGAGTTTTTCCAACCCAACTCCCTCGAATCCAGCTGACCTGACCAACTGCCTGATTTGCCAGCCCATGGTTAGCTTCCTGTAGTTTGTGAACACTACATCAGTGAACACCTCCTTCAACCATCTGATTTAGATCCCTTTGGTAGTCTTCAACCATCTCCATGTAGAGGGTCAGTGCATTCCCCTCCAGATACAATGGTAGCAGGCTTGCCCCATCATCAACCAGCTGAAGTTGCCACCAGCCTCATTTTTTTCAGCCATGCTATGTCTCCCTTTCCAGTAAATAGTTTTGTCATGTCTCAGCTTATGCATAACTTTGCCATAGTAATGGTGCCAAAAAAGTTTGTCGCAGCAAACAGTTTCTTCTGTAGCATAGATATTGGAAAAACACTCACAAGGTACTCTGATTTAGCACACTGGAATGCACCGGCCTGACCTGCATTGAATGCAAATGCTTACTGATGTTCCAACAAACACGCCTCCTAATTCGTTTTTGCCAAGCCAGAAAATTAGCATCTTGCGCACACTGCCAGCCTTGGTTCAGCTCTGTTACGTATGTACCATGTCATTTCAGTGGTGATATTCCTATGTAATATGGCTTGCCTCACTCACAACTTGCTCATCTTATGCACAAGTTTAGGCTATGTCACTAGCTTTCTGAAGTAATTTTCCAGCACAAATATAGAATAAACAAATTTTATTAGGAAAATTATTACCTTAGCAGCAGCACCAGCTTTGCAGACAGCCAGAGATACTCCAAGAATAGCATTAGCTCCAAGCTTACCTTGAAGAGAAAAAAAAAAAAAAAAAAAAAAAAAAGAATAATGCTGACAGTTGTACTGACTCTCATAAATTTTAAATACAAGAAATGAGTCAAATATCAATTTTTTGATTGATTTTTAAAATGTTTTTCAGAAATTGAAAGAAAAAAAAAAAAAAAAAAAAAAAAACTTACTTTTATTTTCTGTGCCATCAAGGGAAAGAAGAAAATTATCTACTGCTGTTTGATCTTTCTCATCCATTTTCTGAAAAGAGAAAGGACATGTCACAACCATAGAACATTTTTAATTTTTAAGAGAAAACAGTTACTTTTTATGCAAATCCAAAAAATTTGGATTTTCAAGTGGCTCTTGATCTTGAATTTGATCAAATTAGGACTTCTGTCAATGAGAGAATCACAAAACTAGAGACCTTACAATTGTTGATATATTTTCAAATACTTTCTAATAAGAAAGCTGTTTTAGATGGCATGTTTTTCAACTATGAATATATCAGTATTAGCAGTAAAAGCTGATAAGGTGAAAAAAGATTTTAGAATTTTTTTTGAGAATGTATACAGAACTGATAACATAAGATGAAATTATGTTAATCTTAAACAACAGAAAAAGTAGTCTTTAAATGCAGAAAGTAAATAAAAGCTACAAAAGAAATTCAGCAAAACTAACAGAAAGTGAGAAATGCCTATTCTTTAAATGATTAAAGATTCTAAATAGTCTGAAGAGTTTACAGGGAAAAAAATTGCTTCTCATGTGAATTTGAGGTCTTCTGTTGACTAATTTTAGCCACAATGTTCCCTACCTTAGGCAATAACTTTATCACAAAAGTCACCGAGCTTGCCCTTGCCAGATTTTTTTCCTGAATATACCATTGTGTCTTTTATGCAGCCAATTACAGTAGTTCTAAAAATTAGTATCAGGCAAAGAGTATGTGGCAGAAGTTAATCACATTTTTGCATGGTTACAGAATGGAATCAATGTCAACCAGTCAGTAATTTTATCTGTTGGATGCAGAACATTCCCGGCCTACAGTATCATTTTATACAATATGGCATACAGGAAATTAAAAAGAAAGTGAAAATATTCATCCTACTAGCATGTGGATTGAAAAAAATGTTTTCCCAAATCTCACTTAACTTCAAAGATATCCTTAAATGAAAGGTCTACAATGTTCAGTGGAATCATTCTAATCAACTAAAAGAACGAGCACAATTTTTGTCCACTCATCTGCTGGTCCATCTTAAAATTGTCAAATAAAATTTCCAATATAAATAAATAACAAGGACTTCTAAACCCCTCAAAAATGTTACTTACTTTATCAGCTAGAGCAGGAGCAATAACTTTATTCACATTGTCAACAGCATTGAAGACACCTGAAAATCAAAAAGGAAAGACACTAAAAATAAAATAAGACCAAGAAAAATAGTGAAGTTGAGAAAGGGAGGTTTCTGTGTATTTTGTAATCAATGTACTTTAAGTGCTCAGGTCAAACAAGAAGTTCTCCCTTCCAAAAGAATCTGGTGTTTGATAAGATTTTGATGATACCATTATTAAAATAGTAGTCAGTTATTAAAATAGTTTAAAGTTCCATTTAACTATTCAATTAATAATTGAATGTTTGGGAACAATGCAACAGAGAAATTCGTTGAAAATAGGTAAATTGCTGATAAATAAAATTCAATGAGTATGAAAAGAAAAAAAAGTTACTTTTGCCATGGTATTTTTTAGGATCCTTGTCTCTCATTTCAAGAGCCTCATAGATACCAGTTGAGGCACCACTAGGGACTGCAGCCCGGAACATGCCTTAAAGAAAAGAAACATTGAAGACAGTAAGTATATATACAACATGTAATCTTTTGTTAAACATTTCAGGACACAACTAAGGTAAGTTCGTGTATTTCTGGAAGGAAAAAAAAAAAAAAAAAAGGGGTTAATGTGACAATTCCAAACTTAAAACTATCAATTTTTTCATAGCCAATGAAAGTATGTAAATTATTTTTATGCAATTTGTTAAAAAAACAAAAAAAACTTGGAAATTGTGACAATGGTGAGATTTTGTTTCATGTTTCCGTCATACAAGTTTCTTAAAAAGAAGAGAAATGAAGGAATAAAATTAAAAACTATACAGTGTATACAAGTTATGAAATTAAGTTTTCAAGTCTATAGAATTATGTAAAAATGTTTGACAATCTTATGAATTTATTCTATTTTGCTATCTGAATGTACTTACAACTCAAAAAAGGCACCTGGTTAATTGTTTACAATTTCCAATCAACCTTTCAGTCCAGAAAAATTGCTAAGATGATAAAAAAATTTTGTAATATGAATGATAGTTTAAAATTCCTCAAATATATATAAAATATATATATATATATATATATATATATATATATATATATATATGATTGCCACTTTACAGAAGATAACCATCTCTTTTAAAATAAAGATTTGTTTGATCAGTAAGTATAATCTTAAAAAAAAAAAAAAAAAAAAAATCACACATTTGCAAACAATTTATAAAAGCCTATCCTTAATTTTTAAGTGGTAAAACACTCAGTTAAAAAGATATAAAAGAAGGAAAACTAGTAAAATGATAAAGGAATAAAAACCACCCAGTTAAGCTTTAAAACAAAATACAGCCAGTTCACATTTATAAAAGTGACTGCAACTTACAGTACCTTGCTACGTTTATGTGCATTCAAGTGGCTCTTTTACCCTGCTGCACTCTTACAAGCTTTCTTACATAAATAACAAATGAATGGTGTAATGAGAGTTTTGAAGGTTATTTTTTCTTGATGAAATCTATTAGTGTGCCTATTTAGACCAGCTGAGGATTTGCAGATATTGTCACAAAACTGACACAGGGTGCCAGTTGATCCAGGGAGGAAGGTGTTCAGTCTGAGAAACAGGGTTTATATTATTGTCGCAATAATTACTCATGTGACTGGTTAAACCAGCTTTGGACAAGCAAATTCTGCTGCAAAAAGTACATTTATGCTGGGAGTCGAGAGGCAGCAGATTAGCATCACCTTTCCATGCTCAACCCTTTTCTCTTCAAAACTGTTGCAACCATCATAAATAGGTTTCCACCAGTTATAGACCTATCACCTGCCTCCTGAACCCAATTGTTTGTAATTATCCCAAGATTTTTAAGGTTGTTTTTAATGACATCTTTGAAGTGCTTTTTTCGTTTGTGTGAAGAACGTCTCCATCTTGTCATTTCACCCTAGAACAACTGTTTACAGAGGCAATCATCCTCCATCTTTATGATGGGACCAGCGTATCTGGTTACATGTTAGCATCTTTTCAATACTAAATGTGTTTGCTCTTTCTAAAATTGCTGTGTCCAGCACAAAAGATTGCCACTTAATACCTAGAATCCTCCAAAGGCACTTTTGATGAAAACGTTCCAAAGTTTAGATGTGCCATTAGTAAGTGGTTCACATCTCTAAGGAGTATAGTAGAGCAATTAAAATTGCAGGTCTCATGCACACCTAACTTATTTTTGACTGAAATACATCTATCTTACCATATGTGAGATTCTAACATTCCAAAGGTTTTGATTTTTGTACACAATAACTTATTTCAGCATCAAGTGAGCCATCTCTTGAAAGAACACTGCCAAGATTAAAGTATCAACAACTTCCAATTTATTTCCATTAACAAAGACATCTGGTTCACTATAATGCTGAGAGGGGGATGGCATATACATGACCTTTGTTTTCTTTAAGCTTACAGTAAGACCAAAAGACAAACATGCCTTAGAGAACAGTTCCATGACAGCTTTCATATCTTCCTTACTGTGACAGTGGTCATGGTACTAAGCTGACCGACTTTATTTAAGAGATGTTAGATTTTCCATCTCTGGATGAAGTTCAAAAAGCTTTAAAACAATACTGGAAAGGCACCTGACCTGGACAGCATACCTGTAGAAGTAATGTGTTGAGGGGGTGCTCACCTTCATAGAGTTATTCATAAGCTTATTGTAGATGTGTGGTTGGGTGAACCTGTTCATGAAGATTGGATTGATGCAATCATATCTCTTTATAAAGGGAAGGGTTGTAAGTCTGTATGTAGTGGTTATAGAGGGATCAGTTTGCTAGACACTGTTGGTAAAGTTGTTTTTGAACCATCTTCTAGTGTACATCTGTCCCTTCATTGAGATATATATATATATATATATATATATATATATATATATATATATATGTGTATGTGTGTGTGTGTGTGTGTATTTTATATTAACCTTGCTTCAAATAGCAAAAGCATGTACTTTTTAGAAAGCACAACATTTAAAATAAGGATTTTGTCTTGAATGCTGAACAGGTCCATTCAACAAATATTGCAGTAAACCTTAAAATAATTTTTCAGGTGACAATTTTATAAATGACTCGTGTACAACAATAGCAGTTATTTTAAAGAGAAATTATGCAACTTACCCTTTTCAGTCCACAAGTCAACTTCAACAGTTGGGTTGCCACGGCTGTCAAAGATTTGACGAGAATGAACCTTCTTGATAACCATTTTGATTGATCTGTGACTAAAAAAAAAAAAAAAAAAAAAAAAAAAAAAGCAAAATTTAATTTTCAAACAATTGTCTTTTTTTATATTTTACAATGATTGAACAAGAAAATTATTCTCTGAATAATGGCTAATAGATTTATATTTTAAGTTGCTGAAATACTGAAAATAGAGCACTGTGCTGTTTGTGCTAGTGTTTAACAAGTAATTTCACTGCCCAAATAATTCTTAGATGCTTGAAATGAGTGATTGTCTTATCTGAAAATGCATATTTATTTGATCTGCATTCAATGAAGACAAAGCAACAAAGTAAAACAGCTTAAAAATTATTGAGTGTCAAATAAAATTCTGTTTATAAAAGAGCAAAAAGTGTGAAAACAGCAATTTTCAGAATTATTACTGACAAGAAGATATACAATAAAAACAATTCTTTGGAGACAATTTCTTGTATCATGCTGAACTGGGCACTGGGCCATTTAAAGATTAAACAATCTTGTCTCACTCAAAGGCAACCTTTATTTTCTTTAAGAAAGATTTACCAAAGAATAGAAAGATAATTAACTTAAAAGAAGCATTAGATTTTACATCCTAAACAATGACAAGGAAATTGTTTTCTCCCACCCATCAGAAAGTTTGCTTATTTGCCAAAGTACTTTCAAAATTTACAGCATAGAGAGACAGTGAACAGTTGTTAAATGACAGTTCACATTAATGGAATTCAAACTATCTTTAAGTGTCTACCTGTAGAAAAGTAAACATTTACTTTTATTTTATATACCATATGGAGGTAGGGGGGGTAGAAAAAATGTGTAAGTTTCTACTCAATTCTCAAACTTTCCATAAAGTTTGCTAGTCTAAAGTGTTTAAGTTCAAAAAATGTTTAATTTCTTTTTAAACATTGTTAATTCACCCATTTAATATTACAAATTATTAATTTAATAATTAAAATTATGTAATAGAAAAAATGAATTAATGTTCTGCTGAGCTCTCTTAAGATAATTATTATTTTTTTTAATTGATAAAGAAAAAAATGAATGTATAGAATTCCTGCCAATATCACATTTGATTTCTTCCCATAAAAAAAAAAAAAAAAAAATGAAAAAAAATTGACCTATTACAAATTATGGTGGTGAGGCAGTTAAATTACGATGTTTTTATAATAATCTAATCCATAATTTTTTTTTTTTTTTTTTTTTTTAGTCTTGGTTATTTAGATTTATTTTTGCTTCCATAGCATGCTATATAAACAAAAATCATCTTTTCAATAACCTAGACTTAAAAAAGTGAAGTGTTATAACCTAGGGAAAGTTACTGAATTACGTGAAGGTTGGTAATGAACGATAATACTTAGGACAAGAACAATAAGATTTGCCAGTGACGTGTAGAATTTGTGAACTGCTAGAAGTTTGTCAATGAATTTCACAATGAATCTTCAACTACAGACCAAGATACAGTATTTACTACTGTATTTATGTGAATTGGACATAAACATTATTGTCCGTAGGTATCCTACAACAAATATTTTTATGAAACTTAAATTTGTTTTTATGAAATTCATGTATTTTCTAAAATTTTATAGCATTTGAAATGGATTTCATATTTACTACTAAAAGAGTTTTTAAAAAATTGTATTTGATTTTATTAATATTTTTGTTGTCATAATTGAACTTTAAATTATTTTAGTGTTTAAGATATTTTATTCCTCCTTGGAGTTAAACGAGATGCAAGTTTGATAAATAGAAGTGTATAAAAAAAAAAAAAAGTTAAAAACAAGTATTTTTGTCCAGTGTGATTAAGCTGTAGTCCCCCCCACACTTTTAACATGATTTGTTTTGTTATTTTTAAAATAAAACTAGTAAAATTTCATCTAAATAAATAACTCCAAAAATTGACTCCATGCAAAAAGTACATATTTACAATTACCTTATGAAGCTTCTTATTTTAATGCTTTGTAACAGTTGAATCTCATGCCTTTATATATATATATATATATATATATATATATATAATAGGGACATTTTACTGTGTTACTGAACTTGTTACTCTTAACAAAAATATATTTTTTTGATACTTTTTAGAAATTCTAAAAAAATTTTTAGTTGTGAGAAAATTTATTTTAGAAGATTTATTAGTGATTAAATTTTTTAGATAAGATTGAAGAGCCTTTATTTATTATGTTGCTGTGATAATTCATATTAAACATCTGTAAGCAAATTTAAAATTTGCATTTATTTTTATTCACCATCCTGCAGTATTAGATACTCCTTGTACTTTATGAAGTGCAGGAGTTAAACCACAATACATAGGATGATGCCTTTCTGCTTAGAGCAGTGGTTCTCAAATGTTGCACCCTGGAAGATGTTTAGGTGCACCCTCGCATTCCAGAGAAATATGTCTTGATGTAAGAAATAAATATATTTACTTTATTATACTATGTAATCCATTCTGTTCATATTTATGTGAATTAAACTTTTTTGCTCTCACCACAACTAAGTGCAAAAAGAGAGAAACTCTTCAATGTATTGATGAGGAAATTAGAGTTTGCCTATCAAATATACACCCAAACATTGAAGAAATCGCTAAGACTAATCAGACTCATGTTTCTCATAAGCAAGAATGAATAAACTTAACATATCTTTAATTTTATATTTTTTTTATTGCATTATTTCTTTTCTACAAGATCTATTTCATTATAACATTTTTCCGAAATTTGTATATAGTGCGCTTACAATTATTGGTACAATATATATATATATATAAAGAAAAATATACAGAAAAAACAGACAAAAATCCTTATATACAATTATGCTGTTTTAATGTTAATATGTCAACGTCAGACGTTTCATGTTGAATTGATAATGTTACATATTATTTAAATGAATATGTAACAAGATCAATTATTAGACAAAAAACGTCTGACGTTGACATATTAACATTAAAACAGCAATTGTATATAAGGATTTTTGTTTGTTTTTTCTGTATATTTTTCTTCATACTGTCAGATCTATATCCATATATTTGCTTGTATATATATATATATATATATATATATATATATATATATATAAAAAACCTAGTGAGCCAGACAAACCTACCCAGGTTTCACCTAAGTGGATTGTCAGAGAAAGCTGGCTAAAGAGGCAAAGAGATATTAAGGAATGTTACTCGTCTATCTCAGAGAAAAACCTTAATGAAGCCCTCTGTTTAGCTAAAGAATATATCCAAATTTCGGATGATAAAATAAACCTGATGAGACATTGCCAAAAAACACTACTATTCCATAATAATGTAATATGAATAAAAAAAAAAAAAAGACAACGTTAACGTTTTGACAACCCCATGGGAGCATATGATGGAGCAGAGGTGTGCGAGTTAGTGGGGTGCCTGCTGCTCTATATGCTTAATCACTATCTATATAGATTTTAATAACCATGGGTTGTACCGCGATGACTGATTAATTATAGTGGATAAGAGTAACCCCCAAAAATGTGACACTATCCATAAAAAACTACACTTTTTTTTTTTTTTTTTTAGAAAATTTGGATTCAATTGAAACCAATCTGAAAATTACTAATTATTTAGACATTACGTTAAACTTACAAAATGGTACTATATCCCCGTATAAAAAAAAAAAAAAAAAAAAAAAAAAAGAAAGAGAACCAGGACCCCCAATATTTAAATGTAAAATCCAATCACCCAGCCCATATCATTTTCGAGGCCAATAAAACAATTTATGAGGAAGCCCTATCTGAGAGTGAACATAAAGACAAACTGGAATATATTGACATAAACAGTTATAACAGAACAGAATAAACGTAAAAATAGGCAGAGAAATATTTTGTGGTTTAACCCTCCTTTTAATTTGGTGGTAAAAATCAAAAATTGGCAAAATATTTTTTTTTTAACTTATTTGAGCAAAATTTCCCCCAAAAAACTGAGTTGCATAAAATATTCAATAAAAATAATGTAAAACTTAGTTACTGTTGCATGCCTAATGTAGGGACCTTAATTAGTGGATTGAATAAGAAAAAACTAGGGATAATCCACGCAGTAGCCCTTCTAGTTGTAATTGTAGGAACAAAAATATCTGCCCCCTACAGGAAAAATGTCAACAAGAATGCGTGGTTTACCAGGCGAAAATTTATAAGGATATGGGGGATACAAACCCTAAAGTGTACATAGGTGCTACTCGGGATATTTTTAAAAAAAAAAGATATGATAATCACACGAGTAGTTTTAAAAATGAAAAAAAAAAACTAAACAAACATAGTACGTTATCCACCTATGTATGGAAAACTAGACAAGAAAACAATAAAGACCCCATCCTTAAATGGGAAATATTAAAAAAATGTCCAATATAAAGCAGGCCAAAAATTTTGTAAGCTATGTACAGAAGAGAAATTAGCCATAGCTTTATATAATCAACCTAACAATCTATTAAACTCTAAAACCGAGATTCTTAACATATGTAGGCACAGAAAATCTTGGTTATTGAATTAGGTCTAATCTCCGTTTGTATTGTCATTCCACCTTTATTGTTAGTGTTTTTTTAAATATCCCTTCCCCTTTTAGTCATTTGAATAAATAAAATACATACACACACACTTTTATTTTACAATTAATAAACCATTAGTTGAATCTTTACAAATTATACACATTAGAAAACTAGAAACATTTTTTTATCTAACAGTGAAAAATTTAAATTTTAACTGATGTTCATTACTTTCAAACTCCAATTATGGCAAGTGTATCTAATGCCGAACAGAAAAGTGTTGTTTGGAAGTTTTTTTTTTTTTTAAAGATTTCTGATAACCAAAGTAAAGTAATTGTTCTCTTTGTTTAAACTCTTACCCAATTTTTTTTAAATGAAAAGGATATCTATTTCATAAGCATTTGCATTCATTTTTCTATTAATAAATGTACTTTGTTCATTAAATTTCCTGAACCAACTGTAGGGTCTGAAAATAATGAATTTTAATCATTGCAGGTGTTGGAATTGGAAATTTAGGACAGTATTGG